AGGCCTGCTGGGGGGCCCAGCACAGTGGGTACGCCACCGCGGACTCAAATTAGACCTCGCCATCCCTGGGGGGCTGCGATCTGTGAAACTGTCGCCACTTTCGAGGCCTGCTGGGGGGGCCCAGCACAGTGGGCCGCAGCACCTCGCCATCCCTGGGGGGCTGCGATCTGTGAAACTGTCGCCACTTTCGAGGCCTGCTGGGGGGCCCAGCACAGCGACGCCACGCGCGGATTCAAATTAGACCTCGCCATCCCTGGGGGGCTGCGATCTGTGAAACTGTCGCCACTTTCGAGGCCTGCTGGGGGGCCCAGCACAGTGACGCCACGCGCGGACTCAAATTAGACCTCGCCATCCTGGGGGGCTGCGATCTGTGAAACTGTCGCCACTTTCGAGGCCTGCTGGGGGGCCCAGCACAGTGACGCCACGCGCGGATTCAAATTAGACCTCGCCATCCCTGGGGGGCTGCGATCTGTGAAACTGTCGCCACTTTCGAGGCCTGCTGGGGGGCCCAGCACAGTGACGCCACGCGCGGATTCAAATTAGACCTCGCCATCCCTTGGGGGCTGCGATCTGTGAAACTGTCGCCACTTTCGAGGCCTGCTGGGGGGCCCAGCACAGTGAGGGCCACGGCGGATTCAAATTAGACCTCGCCATCCCTGGGGGGCTGCGATCTGTGAAACTGTCGCCATTTTCGAGGCCTGCTGGGGGGCCCAGCACAGTGAGGCCACGGGCGGATTCAAATTAGACCTCGCCATCCCTGGGGAGCTGCGATCTGTGAAACTGTCGCCACTTTCGAGGCCTGCTGGGGGGCCCAGCACAGTGACGCCACGGGCGGACCCAAATTAGACCTCGCCATCCCTGGGGGGCTGCGATCTGTGAAACTGTCGCCACTTTCGAGGCCTGCTGGGGGGCCCAGCACAGTGACGCCACGCGCAGACCCAAATTAGACCTCGCCATCCCTGGGGGGCTGCGATCTGTGAAACTGTCGCCACTTTCGAGGCCTGCTGGGGGGCCCAGCACAGTGACGCGCTACGCGGATCCACAATAGACCTCCGTATCCTTGGGCCGGAGGGGCTGCGGGTCAGGAGGAGGCGGCGGAGTCGGAGCAGGAGGAGGAGGCGAATGAGGAGCAGGACGTTCGCCGCTTGCCTGGGACGTCGTCGGCGTCGTCGCCGCCGTCGTCGTCGTCGTCATCGTCGTCGTCGTTGTCGCCGTCGGCGTCGTCATCGTCGTCGGCGTCGTCATTCTCGTCACCGTCGGGTCGCCGACGTCGTCGCCGTCGCCGTCGTCGTCGTTGAGTCGTCGTCATCGTCGTCGTCATTATCGTCGTAGTCATCGTCGTCGTCACCGTTGTCATCGTCTCCGTTGTCGTCGTCGTCGTCATCGCCGTCGACATCCTCGTCGCCGGTGTTGTCGTCGTCGTCGTCGTCGTCATCGCCGTCCCTGGGGGCTGCGTTCTGCGAAACTGTCGCCACTTTCGAGGGCTGCTGGTGGGTCCAGCGGAGTGGGGCACCGCGGTGATCTGAGAAAGACCTCGCCGCCCCTGGGGGGCTGCGATCTGCGAAACTGTCGCCACTTTCGAAGGCTGCTGGTGGGTCCAGCGGAGTGAGGCACCGCGGGGATCTGAGGTAGACCTCGCCGTCCATGGGAGGGGGGCTGCGATCTGCGAAGCTGCCGCCACTTTCGAGAACTGCTGGTGGGTCCCGCGGAGTGAGGCACCGCGGGGATCTGAGGTAGACATCGCCGTCCCTGGGGGCTGCGATCTGCGACACTGTCGCCACTTTCGAGGGCTGCTGTTGGGTCCTGCGGACTGAGGCACCGCGGGGATGTGAGGTAGACCTCGACGTCCCTGGGGGGCTGCGATCTGCGAAATTGTCGCCACTTTCGAGGGCTGCTGGTGGGTCCAGCGGAGTGATGCACCGCGGGGATCTGGGGTAGACTTCGCCGTCCCTGGGGGGCTGCGATCTGCGACGCTGTCGCAACTGTCGAGGGCTGCTGGTGGGTCCTGCGGACTGAGGGGGATCTGAGGTAGAATTCGCCGTCCCTGGGGGGCTGCGATCTGCGACACTGTCGCCACTTTCGAGGGCTGCTGTTGGGTCCTGCGGACTGAGGCACCGCGGGGATGTGAGGTAGACCTCGACGTCCCTGGGGGGCTGCGATCTGCGAAATTGTCGCCACTTTCGAGGGCTGCTGGTGGGTCCAGCGGAGTGATGCACCGCGGGGATCTGGGGTAGACTTCGCCGTCCCTGGGGGGCTGCGATCTGCGACGCTGTCGCAACTGTCGAGGGCTGCTGGTGGGTCCTGCGGACTGAGGCACCGCGGGGATCTGAGGTAGACCTCGCCGTCCCTGGGGGGTCCTGCGATCTGCGACGCTGTCGCAACTGTCGAGGGCTGCTGGTGGGTCCTGCGGACTGAGGGGGATCTGAGGTAGAATTCGCCGTCCCTGGGGGGCTGCGATCTGCGACACTGTCGCCACTTTCGAGGGCTGCTGGTGGGTCCAGCGGAGTGAGGCACCGCGTGGATCTGAGAAAGACCTCGCCGCCCCTGGGGGGCTGCGATCTGCGACACTGTCGCCACTTTCGAGGGCTGCTGTTGGGTCCTGCGGACTGAGGCACCGCGGGGATCTGAGGTAGACCTCGCCGTCCCTGGGGGGCTGCGAACTGAGGCACCGCGGGGATCTGAGGTAGACCTCGCCGTCCCTGGGGGGCTGCGATCTGCGACGCTGTCGCCGCTTTTCGAGGGCTGTTGGTGGGTCCTGCGGAGTGAGGCACCGCGGGGATCTGAGCGAGACCTCGCCGTCCCTGGGGGGCTGCGATCTGCGACGCTGTCGCCACTTCCGAGGGCTGCTGGTGGGTCCAGCGGAGTGGGGCACCGCGGGGGCCTGAGCGAGACCTCGCCGTCCCTGGGGGGCTGCGATCTGCGACGCTGTCGCCACTTCCGAGGGCTGCTGTTGGGTCCAGCGGAGTGAGGCACCGCGGGGACCTGAGCGAGACCTCGCCGTCCCTGGCGGGGCTGCGTTAGTAACCACTGCGACGCCATTATATCTTGATCGGGGGCCTTGGAGCCTTCCGATTGCTGCTCGCAAAATCACGGGCGTCCATGTTACATCATCACCCCCGTTGTAGCAATCCTGATGTACTTATGCCCCGCATTGCGCAAGGGTTGGGTGCGTCGCCAGGGCAATCTTATTTTGTCAGCTGTCTTAGGTCCAGGAAGTGTGGCAGGGCCATATGATTCTGACCATTCCAGCTTTCCTCCGTCCAGAAAGTGTCGAAGGGGCACCGGATTCTCACCATTCCAGCTGTCCTAGGTCCATCACGCGATCCGCCCTAGGATCGATATTATGGCAGGACGGCGCCGGGGAGGGGGAAAGGGAGGCGAAAAGGAGGGGGAGGAGGCGGAGGAGGAGAAAGCGGAGGAGGCGGAGGAGGAGGAGGTGGATTGGAGGAAGAGCAGGAGGACGAGGAGGAGGAGAAGAAGAAGAAGAAGGAGAAGACGACGGAGGAAGACTACGAGGGGGGGGGGAGGTCGGGGGAGGAGAGGGAGGAGGAGGGCGGGAGGAGAGGGAGGAGGAGGGGAGGAGGAGGAGGAGGAGGAGGAGGAGGAGGAGGAAGAGGAGGAGGAGGAGGAGAGCAGTAGGAGAAGAAGAGGAGGAGGAGGAGGAGGAGGAGGAGGAGAGGAGGAGGAGGAGGAGGAGGAGGAGGAGCAGCAGCAGCAGCAGGAGCAGCAGGAGCAGAAGCAGCAGCAGGAGCAGCAGGAGCAGGAGGAGCAGCAGAAACATGAGGAGCAGGACCCTCTGGGAGGAGGCGAAATGGGAGGTGGAGGAGAAGGAGGAGGAGGAGGAGGAGCAGGAGGAGGAGGAGGAGGAGGAGTGGAGGAGGCGAGAAAGGACGAGGAAGAGGAGGAGGAAGAAGAGAAGAAGGAAAAGACGAATGAGGAAGAATACGAAGGGGGGCCTGTGGGACATCACGCAGCTCATTTCATGATCCAGCCTGCTCATCTTCGTCCTACTCCTTATTCTGCTCCCCCTCGTCATCATCCTCGTCCTGGGGGGCCGGACTTGACAAGCGCGCTGACCCTGACACCCGTCGCGCGATCTTGGTCGCACAAGCCCGCAGGCGCGCAGAACGCCGTGTATGTGACCAGGACGGAAATCCCAGTGTGGCCCGAAAAGCAGCGCACATTCCATGGCATCCAACGCAAAATAGCAGATCCTGGCTTCATTGCCCACTGGCAGTTCCCGGCGGAACTGAAGGAACAATTAATAAGGTTCGCATCTTACATGTCTCTGTCCCGCCTGCGTAATCTCCGAAGTCTCTTGTCTCACGGCGAGTCAGACAGGAGCGTCATAGGAGGCGGGCCCCCGGAGGCTATCGCTTCCGCGTTCGGCTGTTTTTCGCGGCCCCGTTGAGCATTGAGCGCTGCAGCCTGCGATCCAAGCCTTCGCGATCACGGTGCTGCTCAGCCCGTTGCGTGCACGTTATCATGACCACGGTGCTGCTCAGACTATAATGCAGCGGACGTCTCTTGCGCCATTCCGTTCGCACGGCAGACGCTTTCACCAGGGCAGCCGGAAGAAGATTTTCCGCTCATCACGCCCATCATCCTCATCGCCGCCCCCTCCACGCAGCAGCAGTAGCAGCGACAGTAGCAGCAAGAGCAGCAACGACACCACTCAGCACCAATGGTTCCATCACCATCATCAGCATCATCAGCGGTGGCGCTGCCCAGCCTCCACACTTTAGTTGTTTTGATGGGGTGATTTGTACAAACATAGAAGGTCCACGCTGCGTTGACCGCGATGGATAATGCCATTATGTTTGTATTAGACGCGAAGTGGAAAGCAGAGATTAGACCTTTGAAGCGTAAAGTCATTTTCAAAGCGTTCGATTGTTTCACCACTGTGCTTGCACATCGCGATTCGATCAGGGAATCCAGGGCGGAAAATAAATCCGATGACCTCGAGCCTCAGACCCCCCTGCTGCCGTTCGCCTGCCCAGGCCAGCAGCAGCAGCGACATCGCGGCGCCTGGGCGGCCGCGAGGACGCGGGCTCGAGGCCGGCGGCGGCGGCACCGCCGGCGAGGCACGGACGCCGTCGCGGCGGACCGCGAGCGCTGGCCAGGTGGACGGGGCCACCGCCGTGGCGTTGGAGGCCCAGACATGCTCGCGTCGCGCACAGATCAGGACGACGGGCTTTTCGTCGCCATCCGCCTCCAGGGCGCTGGGCCCCAGGACCATCAGAGAACGACTCGGTATGGCGAGTCGGCCCTGGGGAAGGGGTCGGGGCTTCCAGGGGCCACGCATTGAAAAAAAAAAGGCGTCGCCACGTCGGGGGGTGGTAGACAGGGCCCTGCCTTCCCTGAGATCCGGGCGAGGCAATTTTCTCACATTGGGCGGTTGGTTCGAACGGATGCCCCAGAAAGACTGTCTCTACTCTTGTCGTGTTTTTCCCAATTTTGACCTGTGTTGGTCGTGTTTTCCCGATGCTGTCATGTGTTCGCACTATCGGATCTCAGGAGAGAATCTTAGGACCGAGTCTTTGGGGGGTCAGTCAGGGCGCTGGGGGCACGTGGCGCGGAGTCGCTACGAAGGGGAGGGCGTTGGACGCTCACAGACCTCACGATATAGAGCGGCGTCCATCGCTTTGCAGCGCGAGGTAGGCAAGAGGTAGGTACCTAGCCTCTGGTCCCGATCAACCGCCATCGCCGTGAAGCGCGAGGGGGAGATATTTACATATATGGGGGATTCCGACCCCGGGGACCCGCAGGGCCCCCCCCCTTGTACATAGGTAGTGCCCCCCTCCCAGGAGCCCTCCGGGACCCGTCCCCGAGGCTCAGAGCAGCCCTAAATCCGCCCAAGATTGTTTACATATGGCCCAAGAGCTCTCCAAGACGCACCAAGAGGACCCCAAGAGCGCTCCAACACGGCCCAGGAGGCCACCAAGGGTGCTTGAGAAGCTTCCGGAAAGGTCCTCGAGAAATTCGAATTTTTCACAAACTAGCGGGAAAATTATATTTTTGGCCTCAGAGGCCCTCAAGATGGCCCAAGAGGCCTCCCAGAAGGTCACCAAAAGGCAGAAACAGCCAAATTCCTTGTGGAAAACGTACGTGTTTAGCAGATTCGCTGCTTCGGTCCTAACAGCGCCCAAGACGGACCCAAAGGCCCCAAAGACGGCAGTAAGACAATCCAAGAGGCCCCCAAGAGGGCCCCAAGACGGCCCAAGAGAGCTCCAACACGGCCCATGAGAGCCCCCCGACGGCCCACGACGGTCCCCAGAGGTTCCCAAAAGAGTCGTCCCCAGGGAGCCCCAAGAGGGCCACAGGAGGCACCCTCGACGGCCCAAGATGGCCCCAAGAGGGCCCCAAGACGGCCCAAGCGCCCAAGACGGTCCAAGTGGGCCCCGGGACGGGCCAAGAGGGCCCCAAAGAGCCCCAAAAGGACCCCCAAGAAGGTCCCAAGAGGCCCCCAGAGACTCCCAAAACGCTCCCAAAACGGTCCCAGGAGGCTTCCCAGTAGTCACCCGTAAGCGTATGGGAGGTCTCGCTTCGACGTCCTGCGCGAGGCTCCCAGAAAAGGCTTCAAGAGGCTCCCGATTCACGATCCATCTCAGGGCTTCAGAGGCCTCACAGAAACATGCTGCGTGGCCCACAGAAGCACCCAAGACGCCCCGAACTCACGATCCAGGTCAGGGGTGTATTTACTGCCATGGGCGGGGCGGCGGGATGCGAACGTTGGCTCTGGAACCGTCGGTGGAGCTCCCTGTTGATACGATTCGTGTGAGGAGACAGGCGACATACGCGTGGGGGGGGGACGTGACGTTATGCGAATCCCCACACTAAGGCCGTACATGAAACGACATCCCTCTGGGGCACGAGTCGTGTGTTGGGTGTGCCGAGATGGGCGGAGCGACGCCGTGTGAACTTTGTCCCTGGACCCGAAAGAGGAGCTCCCAGGGGGACAAGATCCGTGTGAGTGCCGTGCCGAAATTGAGGGGGGGGGCGCCATGTGAACCCCGCCTTCATCTGGGGCCGTAGGTCTCGCTTCCATCCGCATGATCGGTACTTCTTTTACCTCGAGCTCAAGCCAGTTGTGGGTCACTGCTTCTGTGGAGCTGTGACCTTCGCAAGGGATGGGGCTGTTGAGAACGCCCTTCTTGGGGCTCATTGTGGGCCTCTGCGTTTTTTTGTCGCGCTGAGGAGGCACTTCCTTGGACCCTCTCTTTCTGTCGTTATCTTCGGGCTTTCTTGGGGCGCCTCTTGGGGCCCTCCTGTGCTTCGTTCTGGAGCCTGCTTGGAGCTCTTTCGGGGCCACGCTTGGGCCCCCCTTAGCCTCTCTCGGAGAACCAGGGGGGCTCGTCCCTGGGATCTCTGAGTTCCGTGACGCCTCGGACTCTCTGGGTCTTTTGTCTTATCGTGCATTGTATTGCATTGCATTCCACTGGGCTGCTTTCCGTTGCATGTGCAATTTCATTGTTTCGTGATCCACATTGCACTTATGAGCATCGCTTTCCTTTGCTTTGCATTGCATTCATAGCCTTGCATGTGTTTGGCTAAACTGGCTTGCATAGCTTCGAATTAAATACTGGGGAGGCATTACTGCCGGTGCCACCGACCCTGAACGACGACGGCGGCGGCGACGACGACGACGACGACCAAGGGGGGTCGCTCCCCCCTGTGGAGGGGGGGACTGGCCCGTGGGGGGGTCTCCCTCCTGTGGACAGGGGGAGCATGGAACGCTTGGAATGGGGGGCAAAGCGGGGACGCTGGGGGGAAGGGAGGAGAGGCTCTCTCCCCCCGGTTCTTGGGGGGGTCCCAGGGACCCTCCGCCACATGTTCGGGATCGGCAAAACAATAACAGGAGCCCCACGGCCCCCAGGGCACCCCCAGGGACCACCCCCCAGGACCACCCCACGAGACCACCCGGCGGGACCACCCCCCGGGAGTTGCCCCGGGACACCCCTCCCGCTGCGGAAGGGATCAAGGGAAGGTGCTTCACTTCGTTGTTCGATTCGATTTTGTATTGGCTGGATCGGTTGAGGAAGAGGGCCCGGGGAAAGGGGGAAGATGGCGAGGGCGACGACGACGACAACGACGACGGCGACGTCGACGACGACACCGACGACGACAAACGGAAGAGCGCCTCACACACACGCCGACAGGGTCGGCGGATTAAGGAGCATATGTCATTGTCGGTGCTTGGGTTCTGTTCGGCCAGCATTATGGATGCTTCTTGTACCTCATGCTTACACCATCAATGGGTAATCACTTCAGTGGATACGGGACCTCCTCAAGGGATGGGGTCGACTAGAACCTAAGCGCGCGCGAAGCGCGCGCGTGGTTCTAGTGTGTGTATATAACACTATCTATATATATATATTTATATATATATATATATATATACATATACATATACATTACATATATATATATATATATACACCTATTATATATATATAATATATATATTATATATGTGTGTATACACAAGTATGTTTGCCATCGTAGACCCCAAACAGTAACTTATTGAATCGCCTCGCTCATTCCGCCGGCCCGTATTGTGCCATCGCGAGTTCTTGGGGGGTCTTGGGAGCCCTTGGAAGCTTCGTGGGAGCTTCTTGGGAACTTTGGGAGGCCTCTCGTGGATGGCTCTGTGTGGGCCCTCTTGGTGGTCTCTTGGGGGGGTCTGCCTGGCCTCTTGGGGGCCTCCTGGAGCTTCCTGGGGGTCTCTTGGGGGCCTCTTGGGGCTTTCTTGCGGCCTGTTGGGGGCCTCTTGGGGCTCTCTTGGGGGCTTCGTGGGGCTACTTGGGGGCTTGTAGGGGCATTTCGGGGGCGTGTTTGGGCGGGAGGCTCAAAATTTCCGTTCAGGTTGCCCCTGTGGACCTCAATCATGGGGCCGTCTTGGGGCCTCTTGGACCGTCTTGAGGGTTTCTTGGGCCTTCTTGGAGCGCTCTTGGGCCGTCTTTGAGCGGTCTTGAGGGTCTCTCGGGCCGTCTTGGGGTGATCTTGGGGGCCTCTTGGACCGCCTTGAAAGGTGTGAAAGACGAAGAGGCGGATATGTTAAAAATGCACGCTTTCCTAAGGGAATGAGACGGTTTTTGCTTGTGGGAGCCCTCTTGGGACGCCGCTTAGGGACCTCTTGGGGCGTCTTGAAGGCCTGTTGGGCCGTCTTGAGGCCATCGTAGGCGCTTGGGGGTGATATTTCGGCGTCTCCCGGCTCTCTTGAACCGTCTGGAGGGCTTCTCGGGCCCCCCTTGGACCGATTTGGAGCCCTCCTGGGCTCCGAAAAAGAATTCTTGAGGGTTTCTTGGGCCTTCTTGGAGCGTTCTTGGGCCGTCTTTGAGCGGTCTAGAGGGTCTCTCGGGCCGTCTTGGGGTGATCTTGGGGGCCTCTTGGACCGCCTTGAAAGGTGTGAAAGACGAAGAGGCGGATATGTTAAAAATGCACGTTTTCCCAAGGGAATGGGACGATTTTTGCTTGTGGGAGCCCTCTTGGGACGCCGCTTAGGGACCTCTTGGGGCGTCTTGAAGGCCTGTTGGGCCGTCTTGAGGCCATCGCAGGCGTTTGGGAGTGATATTTCGGCGTCTCCCGGCTCTCTTGGACCGTCTGGAGGGCTTCTCGGGCCCCTCTTGGACCGATTTGGAGCCCTTCTGGGCTCCGAAAAAGAGTTCTTGAGGGTTTCTTGGGCCTTCTTGGAGCGCTCTTGGGCCGTCTTTGAGCGGTCTTGAGGGTCTCTCGGGCCGTCTTGGGGTGATCTTGGGGGCCTCTTGGACCGCCTTGAAAGGTGTGAAAGACGAAGAGGCGGATATGTTAAAAATGCACGTTTTCCAAGGGAATGGGACGATTTTTGCTTGTGGGAGCCCTCTTGGGGCGCCGCTTAGGGACCTCTTGGGGCGTCTTGAAGGCCTGTTGGGCCGTCTTGAGGCCATCGCAGGCGTTTGGGAGTGATATTTCGGCGTCTCCCGGCTCTCTTGGACCGTCTGGAGGGCTTCTCGGGCCTCTCTTGGACCGTTTGGAGCCCTCCTGGGCTCCGAAAAGGGACCTTGCCGGGACCTTGCCGGGGTACTTTTCGTCCGGGGACCCCCAGGGCCCGCCCCGCGCGCGCGAACTAGAAATATTGTTGAGCAGTTACCGGAGATCTTAGCACACCTCTGGC